TATATTTTAGTGCTGAATCTAGAGCATTTTGGTTTGCGGGTTGAGCCCTGTAAAATTAATAATCTCCAACAAACGTACCCTGAGACGCACTGTTATTTATATGCAGAGAATGGTGGCTTATTTACCCAAACATTAGAGTGATCCAAAATGTTCAGCTAAGCAGGAACACAAAATATGATATTATATTATGTAAATGGGTTTGTGATACGCTCTGCTGGATAATAACTTCCAGATGTCTCTGTAGCCAGAGGCTGACGGATATCAAAGGCAGGTTGGCTAGGAGGGGAGACGTGCCAGCTGGCGAGACTGGCTACTGCTAAGTGTAGCGGAAGGTGAAAGCTGGTATTTCTTCACACTCACTGGTTTTATTTGCGGACTAGTGAAAAGTCAGTGGTTCACAGCCTTCTTTTCGCAAGCAGGATAGGGCTTGAGGGGCTATAGGGATCCCACGTGTCCTATTCTTTCAGTGAATTATTTTTCGACCTCTTTTGTGAGTAGGGGTTGAGTTTAGTCCGAGTCTCCCAACAAATGAAAGGCTGACGAGCCACGGACTAACACCAGCAGGAGCTTGCAGACTAGCTAGATGGCTATTCCAACTCTACTTTCTATTGCCATCACTAAATGCAGACAAGGACTCTCCCTGAGCTCCCAATGCCATGGTATAAGTGGAGTTCATTGGAGCACCATACAACCTCACCAGTTTGGAGTATGGTTTCCTAAATCTGTTTGGTTTTAAAATCTGACAGTCCCTAGGGGTTTAGCTACGTGTCCTCTTCTGAATGCAGCAGGTTGTATTCACCATCATTAAACGCAGAGCCAGACTGAAAAGGGACTGCAGATTGCTCCTGTAAGATGCTATTGAAGTTACTGGCATGGACTTCAAGAAAGCCCTACAGCAACTGTGGAGCAACCTTTGAGAAGAAAGATCTTTGCACAATCCTTAAAGATGAGACTGCGCCTCCTTCAACCTCACATTGCTTTCTGAGAGCTTTGACCTATCATCTCAGTGACAGGTTTCCAGTTGGCTTCAGTATGTTTTTAATTGACTTTAACTGATAGCCCAGAAAAAAACCCAAAGTGGCAAGGGGAATTGTAGGGTAGATTCTGCCACAGTCCACTGCAGGTAGTCCTCAGCTCATCAGTGTGACTTCCTGATCAAACTCAGGGAGGACGGTCTCTGAGAGACTCTTCCCCTGTCCAGTAGCTGCTCACAACAAATACTGTAGTTGCACTTTTCAGAGAAAGAAGCATTTTATTAGCAGAAGATGCAATGGCTGCATTATGATTTGCGCACACTGGGGTTGTGCGTTCACATGTCACAGTTATGGGTCACAAGCCCGTTGGAAGAGACACTGGACAACTCAGGGCAAAGTGTTGATCCCAGGTTTGCAGAACGTGGGCTTTAAATAATACAGCTAGTATGGCACACTTTGCATTGCTTCATTAGCAAGCTCTAAAAAATTCTGCCCTAAGATGAATACTAAGGCATTAGATCATACTGAATCCAAATTTACATCCCAGCATGGTCTTTTTTCCCGTTGTTTTTCTTCATCCCACAGTTTGTAATCACTTTTTCTCCTTGAACTTGAAGGTTTTCATCTGGTTTGGTTCAGCTATATTTCTCTAGCTTATCAATGTCCTAAAGTAATAGACAGGCATAATTACTGAATTATCTGACTATTTTATAGCCTCATAATTGTCTGTGTATTGTCAAAGACCATGCTCATGTGTTCCATGTTTGGTGTTTGATCCGGTTGTAACTAGTTATAAATGTCACCGTGCAATTTTCAGAATGGAGAGTGGATTTAATTTTCCACTGGGCATGCGTTACAGGGGCTGGCTTCTCTCTTGCTGCGAATGCCCATCGTCCTTGTGCCATATGTAAGAGGGTGATGGCACCTCACAAAAGCAATGGGAGGGAAACCACCCGAAAGCAGTAGCACTAGAGGTGCTTGATTTGTTTATGAGAAGGGCTATGGACAGATTGTGTTCTGATGACACTACAAAAGGTAGAGGAATATTTTATCTGTTGAAAATGTCTGCCTGAGATTCTGGAAAGCATATGGCCAGTAAGACCGTGAGAGAAGGAGAAGTTGTTATCTCAGTGAAAACTGTTATTCAGCAAAAACAGAGTTGGAATTGGTATTTTATAATTAATTTAATTTGGTGCCACATTCTGCTTTTGAGTTGAACTTTAGATCCTTGCAAACTTGAAAGTACAGGAGAGTTTTCTGGGGCTCGCGGTTAGTCGTTGCTGTTATTCCAGAGATGTTCTTGGATGTTTCAGTCAGAGATCTGAATAGTTCTGGCATTTATGCTCACCAGACTTTGTTACTGCATTTGTCTCACAGCTTTTAAACAGCAGAAAACATGTACAATGTATTTAAACACCAGAGAAATTAAGGTCATGAGAATGCATTGTCAACAAATGAAGATAAAAAGGAGCTGCTGTTTAAAAAAAATATTGTTGCAAGACACTTTTGAAATTCTACGTACCAAATTCAGAATCATGTTGATGATTTATTCTAAAGTAGGAAAACATCATCAAGAGTGACAAGCAAGCTAGTCACTGTCTAGTCACCTGCCAGCAAATATTTCACAAAGACTAAAAAGGCTGATACTGCATTGCTGAGCTGACACTAATTATTTCAGTATACATGGAGCTTTGGGATTCCTGTTAATTCTCAAGTCTGTCTTTAGTTCAGGCTCATTCCACTGTGTAAATTCAGCAGAGCACAAATTATTTGACCATCCTTTCATAATCTGTCCCCATGCTTACTTGCCAATTATATAAACTGATCCAAATACCTGCTTTCAAAGGATCCCCATTTGGGAATTGCAAGCCAATTACAAAAAAAAAGGGGATATCCACTTTTCTGTAGCTCATGTCTGGTAGTCCTATTTCATGTTGACATTAATTTCTGGGTATCTTCTTTAGATAACATTGTTTTCATTAGTGTTCAGAAAAGATACCTTTCCAGTGATAAAACCCTTTTTAGATTAAAACTCTGTTGGATATGGCGTATTGCATCCCATAGGAAGGATGAGCTCCACAGTACCTACCAATATCCTGGATATCCTGAGAAAGTCTCCCACTGACGCATCATGATGCTGTTTCTTTGTTCATTACACACTTAAGTGAGTATTTTTAGGACAACATCTAAATATTGAACAGTGATGTACTGATCTTGCAGCAGCTTAGTGACGATGCTTGTTGAAGGTGTACGAAACAGCATTCAAGCAAACACGAAACAGCAGTCACCTTGGTGGCATGAGTTAGCACGAGAGAGGGTTTGAGAAATGGGGCTATGTGTGTGTCTGAAAAAGACTGTATTTGTTCTCTAAAAATTCAGCTCTGGAACTGGCTCATTTTTAAGGTTTGCAGTAAAAATAGCTGCATTTTTGCACAAATGCTTCCAACCATTACAGCCAGTGGATGTCTGCCCTCCACAGGTAACATAGATTGGAGCCACGATCAAGCTGTGAGAATGGCCTCCTTGCTGCTATGCCCAACTCCTGGCATCCAGAAGGTCCACACAGCTTTGAAGCCACCACTCAGTTCCGTATACTGTTTAGTTTTCATATGCTATATAGTTTTGAGGTGACTGCCTTCCTCGTTGCCCTTCCAGATCAAGAATTGAAATGTGCTAATAGATGGATTTACATCAAACTATAAACCCTGAAGCACTGACGCCCACTGAAATCAGTGCCTACTGATAACTGCTTGCAAACGTTTGTAGGGTGTTTGAGTTTGTACATTTGGAGTAAGACAAAAGGTGAGCATGGCTTAAAATTGTAGGGGCTTCGGAAAATACATTGATGGTTCTTCCAACAACGTTCTTGGGTTTTGAGGCATCAGGTTTTGGGTGGAGTTTTTTTGGAGAAAAACAGCTGAAAATTCTGAAATTCAGAGAATAGTATTCCCACTGTATCTTACCTCAAATGAAGAGAATGTGGCTTGCAGTCTTTCTGATTTATGAAAGTTTAAATATTTTCTGATGGGAGTGCAGGTCACCATATGGTGAAAAAAAGCTTGTCTTTATTAGTTATCTTTTCTGCAGACTTCCCAGAAGTGACACCAGGAATCGTAGAAGGCCCCAGAATATTTAAGTATTGGGACTGGGTAACCTCTGAAGAACCTCTCCAAATCTACATTTCATTGATTCATCATTCTATAACGCAGAAATTTTCTAATAATGAACCAGACACTTTAAGTCCAAACCATGGTCCCACCATTTCCATTTTTTTGCCACAGCATTTCAATGTGTCCAACACCACAGTATGCCATCGGCAGAATCTGTTGTTTAAAAAAAAAAGTCACAAAGAAGGATTCAAAGGCACCCGAAGTAATGAAAATTGTGTACTGAGATGTGTTACACTTCCCAGGCTGTGTGGGGAGATGCGTATTTGGGATTTTTGTTCAAAACCCAGCTCTTATAAAAAAGGTCATTTGTCGTGAAGCACTAAGAAGTTGAACTAATTCACCTTTGCAGCTGTGGACCTGATTCTCCCTCTGTTTGTGGTTTGCTTGGTTTGGCAGGGTACATCTGCAGAACCACAGACTGCAGGTTACTGTAACCCTGCTAATGCCAAGGAGCAGGGTAGGTCCGTACTATCAAACTGGGCCTGTGACATAGGCTGTAAAGGAGTTCTCTCCCTTTTTTTGTGTTCTGGTCGGTTACATTTATTAGAAGTGTGCAGAAACTTCTTTACTCCAATGTGCTGCTAAATCTCCCTGCAGCTGCTGTAATGAAGACAATATATTCTGGGAGGCATCTTGATTTGAGAGTGACAGCTCCATATAGTTGTGAAAATGAAGTGGCAGCGGAGTTGCTGGTAAAGCATATTGTGTCTTTGTGATGCAGAAATACATGATGTTAATAACAATAATTTTCACAGTTACGTGTGACCATTTGCACGCAGGAAAGCACCGCTGTTGGGAGAAGTCCTAAGAAGCGAGGAAGAAGCTAACTGGTTTTGCTTTCTTGTTTGTAAAACAGCCAAAAGGAAGGAAGACCGTGCCTGGAGAACTGGCGCAGCAGCAAAGCGATACTCTGCTCCCGTGGCGCCAGCATCACAGTGCTAATGGCCTGCGGCGGCAAAAGCGAGACTGGGTCATCCCACCGATCAACGTGCCAGAAAACTCCAGGGGACCCTTTCCACAGCAGCTGGTTCGGGTAAGTTAAAAAAAGAGACTGAAATAGTGACAGAAATAATGGTAATCTTGCAGTGGGTCTAGTGAAGTGGTAGGTGTGGTCCAAGCTCATGGCATGGGAGGTCTGGTTTGAAGCACAGGCTCT